TACGACAGCTATCAACACCGCGCTTGTGGGCGACTAAGTTGAAAAAGTCCTTGCAATCGCGGACTGGCTTTATTTATAGAAATACTTGAAGAGGCGAAAACAGGTCATGGTTTAAGAAACACACTGGAAACCGATGCCAGGTATTGCAAGATAAGAGTGATAATCATCAGAACGAAAATTTAGTGTAATTATGACAAGGATAAAAAAATAATGATAAGGTGATAGTGAAGACATGAATATTATCGCAAAACGGTATAAACGGGCTACAGTACGGAGACCGAAGGATGGCCAAACGAATCGTATGAAAAAAAAACAATATAGTACAGTCGCGCATGCTCAGAAATGAAGCATCGATCAATACGTCACGCGTTCTGTCCCCTGTATCAACGACGAAAAGCGATGATTACCACAAAAATGGAAGTTCTGTTTCATTGTTCTTAATAAGAACCTTAACTAAAGAATATATGGATGGAAACAAGACGTGTACTAAGCGATATTTGCTCCTTAAATGTGATGAACTGAAAATAGAGACATCGTTAAAGACAAACTTGATTTCAAATATCAGTCTAACAAGCTGATATTTCGATCAACAGGAACATCATTCGTTCAATTCAATAATCGTCACGTCTGACTGGTTGATAACAATCACCTCACTGACCTTACAACCTTATCAATGCATGACGCTGTTCTTCCATAACATATCATCTCACGATAACCATAGCATCTATGGATATAAGATATAACATATTATCGAGCATATACCAACATAACATCACAGTTAGCGCATAAGTACTCAAAGAACCGATTTCGCGCTACCTTCAGTCGCAGAATTGTTTCTAGCTACTTAGCGAGTCATTTAAGCATGGCAGAGCTCGACAGTATTTGTTAATCTAAACGAATACTTTGTTCGCCAGATTAACCTGATGCCTATCATGAGGGATGTTTCAATATCCAGTATTCTTTGTGCACTACAGCATAGGACGCCAAAAAATATAGGGTTATACATCGGTAACTTTAACTGCTGCACAGATGCTTGACCAAAGCTGTAATAATCTGTTACAGATAATATGTTACATAATGCAGGAGTGGTCCCGCCATCTGCGATTTCAAGAGAAGATGCGCAAACAATCGCCACTGGCTCGCCTCAGACACAACAGATGGAAGGATGTGGATGAAAGAATCACAATGGGTTCCGCAACGGCACAAACATCATCTGTGACCCAAAACGCGTTGAGACGATTCGATGGTGGAGTTAACTGGCCCGCAATGAAAGAGGGACGCGAAGAACAGAATAAACTCCACTGGAGAACCGTCGCCTTGCATCCATGGCGCACCCACAACAACGAGAAGTCGGAAAACGAACATTAAATTACAGTGTCACGAAACCGTGTAATACGGGTCATTGCAGCACAGGCAACCATTCAAACAAGTAATGCCCCAATGATGCATCGATATGCATTCATTCCACTGTATTCGTTGGCTACAGAAATCGGTCGTTGACCACGGATGCTGCTGCCACAATGTCGATGCATCACCTACAAATGTTGCCTGTGCAAAAATGCTACGGATCCCCAAACAATTACGTATATATAACTATACAGAATATAGTCATATCGAATGAATCCTTCCTTGAGGAAGTGGAGTGTTCTATGAACGAAGTGTCAATGCGCGTGTCGAAGCAGGCACTGAACAGTAGAAAGATGTAATGGGAAACAACGGCCCTAACGACCTAAACAACAACGGCATGAAGTTGCTGCGTTGTGTGCAACCAACGGACTGTCTATTGTGAAACATTTTCTTCGACCATCGAAGCGTTCATCCCTATATCTGGTATATTGAAGCCTGTGCACACAAGTCGATGATCGATCTGACGATCCGTAATGGACACTCGCGTTAAGAGAGACGCACAGCTGTCAGCCGATCACCATTTTGCTGCTGGCACCCGCTGGGGCAAACGATGAAGTACCACTCGAACTCCGTGTACTCCTGCATCAATTTTCGTGATCCGCTGTGACAAAACAGGAACTGAGTCCGGAAACTAAGCCTTCTCTGTTCAAGTCGATCTTCATGCCGATGCTTAGCTCCGGTGAAGAATCGTATGCCATGAGCGTAAATCTTCGATGGCGGTTACAGTCGGCTTTCTGAGGAGAATCACTGGGATCATGTGTCTCGATGCGGTACGCAGTAGACGGCTTTGATATACAACCATTGATTTTCCAGATTTAGAATTCGTCACAGAATTCGACGTTCAACGTCTGTTCTGCGCCGCTGCTACTGTTTTGCTACCGTCATCTGAGGTTAGCAGAACTTAAACAAAGAAAATGGTCCATATTTATGACGTCTGACACGTAAGAGACCCGAAACTCCACGTAAAGAGACTTTTCTGCTTTCTGCCTTCAGGAGTAGTGCGTAAAATTGGACATGTGGCTAAGTCTGGCTTTAACAGCACTTCACTGGATTCGATAAAGAACGAAGCATGTGTGGATCGAGAGATCTGCAAATGTCTCAATTCTGGCCACAATCACCTTTTGATCACATCTGCCGTTGTTTCAGATGGTCTTCACGAACCGAACCGAGGTAGCAAAACTTGACCGTGGTCTGAAAGTGTCACCGGTACAACGTAAATGTCTGTGCGCATGGGGATGTCGGCTGCTCTGACAGATTCACGTTTGATAGCCATTTGTGAGTATGTTCATTTTGTAGAGTCTACAGTACGGCGGAAATTATGATTTTAATAAATATCATTGTCAGCGAGTGACTTATTATAAAGGCAGAGTCGATAGCAGGCAAGTATAGAGTGTCGTCTCCTGTTTCCCCTTCCTACAAAGTGACCGTCATTTATCTAGCTCAGTTGATTGAGTATTTCTTTCCTACATTTGTGATCACGAAGAACCAACACTTAACGCATCAAAAAGGCCTGAATTATCCGATGCTGTGAAAATCTCAACCGTGACAAACGATACGATTGGATAAGTTTTTTTCGTACCTATTGCCAAGAAACTACTTAACCAAAGCATGGTTGAAAAGCACACGTTATGGCCTCTAAACATTACAGAACGAATTCTGGCAGATTAACAGAAACCAGCCTGAAGAAGGCCCATGAAATACCAGCCCAAACGTCGGCATTGGTTAATCACCCGATTGACAAGTCTGTCTACAGTGTGTATGAATAAACTCGTGTACAATTTTAGACTTGTCAATCTTCAGTATCAATTTCAAAAGCAAGAATGGCGAATGAACCGACCGTGACCGGGGCTCGTATGCAGCACTTCTCGGTTCTGAGTTCGTCGCTACACCGACGGAACGAACAACCCAAGTGTGATAATTTAGTTGTTGGAGGAAATTACTAGTTCGAACATTTCCAAATATATTAATACGCATTTTTCGGCTGTTTATTCCTTAATGTCGGTTTTTAAACAAAATCGATTTTCAGCGTTGTTCACCGCATCGTATCTAAAAGTTTTTGAAAAAGTAAACTTAAGATGGCTTATGTACAGAATCAATGGCATATGACGTACGCTATTTCGTAAATCACGCAACTTCTCCTGCATTAAAGTTGCGAATTTTGTTTCATATCCCAGCAACGATTAAATT